GTGTGTCTTACTGTCTGCCATAACTGCACACAATGCACATTTATTTATTTTTATTTATTTAATTTATTTTCCACTTCTTGGTATTTATTCATGTATATTCTCTGCTGCACTATGTTGGAAAGAGTCTCTTCTGTTGGACTTTTATGCAACTGAATGTTCACTGTTCTTGTTTCCATGCCAAGAGAGGGCAGCAGGCCCCACCGCCAGCCTCGTTCCCAGCTCCTTTCCGTCAGGCCTGGCATCCTGAATCCGGCTGCGGAGCACTCAGATCCGCTCCGGGTTTTCCAGCACACGGGCCTGGAGATCTCTCGTCTCCGGCCGCAGTTTGTGCGGACAGTGGCGTGAGAGGGTCAGAGCAGGGGGAGCACCGGAGCGGATGTCTGGAGCGCCCTCGGCTCTCTCTCTCGCTCGCTGGAAACCAGGACTCGGCCCCCTCTGTGCTGTACCAAACAGGGAGGGGGGTGGGAGTGGGATTGTGTCTTTGTGTGGGACGGGGGAACTGAATGTGTCTCAAAACACTGATGCAAAATCCTGAAACTTTTTGTAAGTGTGTGTGTGTGTGTGCGCGCGCGTGCGTGACTGTGTGGAGGGAAGACCAGGTGTGAGCCGGCGTTCCTCCTCACTCCTTGCGAAATGAAAATAAAACTGGACAAGCGGGGGTTTCGGCACAGCCCGAGGCACAGGGAGCGGCCGAGGGGCTTGGCGTCTGTCCCAGCAGCCCAGCCGGCTCACCGGCAGGCTCTCTCGTTCGCTGCAGGACAGGCAGCGCCCCGTTTTACAGCTGGGGTCCCCAGCCCAGGTCTTGGAGCGCCCCTCTGGTCTGCCTTCCAGCCCGAGCAGTCGGTCACTTCACGGACCAGTTCGTTTTCTGAACGAGTCCCAGACGGGACCTCTTAAGGTCTTTCCTGTTATACAGTCATGAATACTTACAAAGGAGCTCACAGCCCGGTGAGGATCGTTGTAGTCGTGTAGCGAACGAATCGGACCGACTCCGTGACACCGGGCCTGGGTGGAACAGCAGCCAGAACCCCCCCGGGACTTTGGGGTCCGAGACCCCTGCTGACGTCGGTGTGGGTTCTGTGCGGCGGTGTCGGAGCACGCTCAGGGGCGCGGAGAGCAGTTCTTACCTGCGTTCCTGTGGGACCTCCTC